ATTAAGTAAAGACTTGTGTCGTTAAAGTTTCGTTGGAATGAAGTTACGGAAAAATCAATTAACAAACGGAGACGTAACAATATTTACCTACAGGGTAGGTATCTAGAGATTTTAAGTGAAGCTTCTGACAAACCTGGTGACTTTTATTAGAATTGAAAATTAAGTGTAATAAGTGCTGTGAAATTCTGAATTCAATAAAAAACTTGAAAGTTCAAATACATATGGTGCATAAATAAAGAAAGGATTAGGTTTCTCATTTTCCAGGGAGAGGAGAGTGCCACCCACTTCACAGCCATGCTTGTATACAAAAATACCTAAAAGTTAAGCTGAAAGTATGTTGTTATATCACCAATTTTTTTTTTTAAAAACTCTTTTAATCAACAGAGACTCTAAATTAAAAAAAGCAACAAATATTTTTCCAGCTTTTTGTCTATACATTTAATGTCATTCTTTCAGTACACATACTAACAACAATATTAGGATATAAAACATGACATAAAACCATTGTTGGAGCATAGTGTAACAATAATGTGCTGGCTTTTCTATATATTAGAAGTTGTTAATCTGATTTTTACCAATAATTATTCTATGAATATGCCACAAATTGATTTCATGAATAATCTTAATTTTGATTGGCTCACAAAGGAATTTACCAATATTTGACTGCCTCTTAGTTGGTCAAAATTTGGTCAAATTTATTTATTTCACTTAGCTATGAAATGTGAGGTTAGAGTATATCATGGTGAGGGGGTAGTAGTACTTGCCCTGTCATTTTTGACAGGTAATACCTAGTATCTGTATAATGTTTACATGTAACAAAACACTAAATCTTGAACTATTCTGTGTTATTTGATCTTCTATATATATATTTTCAAAATCAAATTTGTTGTGAGACATTCCTATTAGGCCTAATACATTTTTAAATAAAACATTCTTAAAACCAATCTCTTAGAGATTTTCAAGAACTGTCTTTTCAAATATGTATTAAGCCTAAAACTAGAGTATTATAATAATCGTAAATCTACATATGTATCAGAAATTATTCAAACTGTAACTGTAATGTTCACAGGTAACAAAACACTATAAATCTTGAGCTCCTGTGTTCTATTCTCTCAGAAATCTTCGAGGACAGTAGTGTTTTATCTGCATCCATGTGTAAAACCTTATATATATATATACATATCATTACAATTACATTTGTCGTATATATATTAGCGCAAATGCAAATATACATATATATCTGTAATTATTCAATATGCAACTGTTGTAAGGTTTGAAAACAATAATACTTCATTGCGTATCTAATCAGACAGCCGAGTAAGCACCCAGTTTTGAAAAGAAACTGTTCTATGACTTAAGCCTTACTTGTATACAAAAAATTTAGTGTAATAAAAATACCTAAACGTTAGGCTAAAAGTATGTTCGCTCGCTGATTACTTGATAGCCAATAATTACGAATCGCCTATATCTATATAATGTTTACATATAATAAAATACTACAAATCTTGAACTCAATTTTATTTTTCTTTCAGAAAACTTAGGGACTATAGTGTTTTATTTGTATTCACGTGTAAATACTTCTATATATAGATATCTTTACAATGACATTTGTCGTAATACATTAATATTAGGCCCAATACCTTTTTAAACACGACGTTTTTAATTTAATCTCTTGGGGATTTTCAAGAAATGTATTAAGCCTACAACTAGTGTCTTAGAGAACCGTAAATCTACATATACATTTGTAATTATTGAAATTCTAACTGTTGTACGGTTAAAAATAAAAATGGGGAAAACATATTTCATGGCATATCATGAAAACAGCCGAGGAAGCAAGCAGTTTTGAATAGGAACTGCTCTATGACTTAAGCCTTACTTGTATACAAAAATTTAGTGTAATAAAAATTCCTAAACGTTAGGCTAAATGTATGTTCTCTCACTAATTACTTGATGTGCATAGAACAATTTATAATTGCCAATCGAATATATCTATATAATGTTTACATCTAACAAAACACTATAAAACCCTTCTCTATTATTTTCTCAGAAAACTTACGGACCGTAGTGTTTTATTTCTATTAACGGGTAAAAAGTTATATATATATATATATTTACAATTACATTTGTCGTAAGACATTAATATTAGGCCAAATACCTTTTTAAACACCACATTATTAATTTATTCTCTTAGGAACTGTATTGTTTTAAAATGAATTAGGCCTAAATCTAATCTATTATCGCAAATGTAAAACTATATATATATATCTGTAATTATTCAAAATGTAATTGTTGTAAGGTTTCGAAAAAAACAAAAACACTTCATGGAGTATCTAAGCAGACAGCCGAGTAAGCACCCAGTTTTGAAAAGAAACTGTTCTATGAATTAAGCCTTACTTGTATACAAATATTTAGTGTAATAAAAATACCTAAACGTTAGGCTAAAAGTATGTTCGCTCGCTGATTACTTGATAGCCAATAATTACGAATCGCCTATATCTTTACAATTACATTTGTCGTAATACATTAATATCAGGCCAAATACCTTTTTAAACACGACGTTTTTAATTTAATCTCTTGGGGATTTTCAAGAAATGTATTAAGCCTACAACTAGTGTCTTAGGAGAACCGTAAACCTACATAATACATTTGTAATTATTGAAATTCTAACTGTTGTACGGTTAAAAATAAAAATGGGGAAAAAATATTTCATGGCATATCATGAAAACAGCCGAGGAAGCAAGCAGTTTTGAATAGGAACTGCTCTATGACTTAAGACTTACCTGTATACAAAAATTTAGTGTAATAAAAATTCCTAAACGTTAGGCTAAAAGTATGTTCTCTCACTAATTACTTGATGTGCATAGGACAATATATAATTACCAATATATCTATATAATGTTTACAAGTAACAAAACACTAAAACTCTTCTGTATTATTTTCTCAGTAAACTTAGGGACTGTAGTGTTTTACTTCTATTCAAAGGTAAAAAGTTATATATATATCTTTACAAC